CCCCCCCCCCATTGTTTATAATTGTGGCGTGTACGAGCCTCCCCATGCCTGATCATTCCCGCAGCATAAATACAACAGCATTCTGCACATATTTCATAACCACCCCCATGCTGATCACTAAAAGCTTACTGCTTATGTACCACTGAAACAAATATATAAGCCATTTTTCCATCACATTAAGCAGTTCAGCAAAAAAAAATGTGAAAACACGCATCAACCTCTACAAGTAAAGAAAAAAGAAAAGTTTTCTCCGTTTTACTTAATTAGCTAGTTTGGTGAGATACTTAGAACAACACACACAGATAAACCAGTTTTCATTTCCATCTTCCAGCCTCTTATCCTGGACAGGATGGAGGGGGTCTGAAATCTGTCCCAGGCAGCACAGGGCAGGGGTTTGACCCGCATGGGGTGCGATACCATCACAGGACACACACACAAGCTAGGGATGCTACAGTACATGGTATGTTGTCGAACAGTTCAGTACGCCCCCTACGGTTCAATATGCAGACGTGAAATGTGGTATTACGATACGTCTGTCATTTCGCTATAGCTTCCAAACCTTGCTTATAGCCCAGCGGACTACACGCACATCGTAAGTTCTGCCCTGTCATGCCAAATCTCATTTCCCGTCCAATTCCATTCCCCTGTGACGTGTCGCTCAGCTGTTTGGCCGATGATGCAATGTGACGATGCAGTTTCAAGTTCCCCCGTAAGTTTCAAGTTCACCCTTACTGCTGCAGCAAGCGTTCACAATAACATACGTTTACTATTGTTTTTAAATAATAAATTAAATTATAGTATTAATTATAAAAAATTGTTCGCATTCGGCTTGATAGTATAATCAAAATGTTTTATTAGATTATCAATGAATTCAGGTTTCAGGTGATATATCCAGCTTAACGGTGATATATTTGATCTATTATGACTGTATCCTTAGTTCAATAAGATGTCATTGGCAAGACGTTTTCTGAACTGACAGTTATTCGTTATATGGAAAAATAAAGAGTTCATTGTTTAATTAAAGGCTGATTTAATTTGTTTCTTAATTATAAAGACACCGAAACCATGGCCAAACAAACAGGATAAAACCGAACCCTGGGGCAGCTGAAGTGCTGCATCCCCATAACAGACACCCCCCCACTTATGGACATCAAAGACCCTGTTTGTCTGTCTTTGGACCGCAGCAGGAAACACACATAATATCGGGAGGGCATGTAAAACACACACAGTAGAGGATGGGTTTGAATCCCCAGCCCTAGAGGTATGAGGCAACATTGCTACCCACAGAGCCACTCATAGTTACTTTATTTGTAATCGTCCTGGCTACTGAGAAACGCCACATTATAACATTATACACTGCTACACCTATAAAAGCAGCACACTATATGAATAATCCTAACTAACATGGCAGAGGCCAGTCCTTACCAGTGTTTCTGTACTCCTTTGTTTCATATTGCTTCCGCACCTCTGAGCTTGGAAGCCCACAAAGTACTGATGCACCGATAAGGAAATTTCTGGCCGATACGGATAGCAGATTATTTCGAAAACCGACACAGATACCAGTTGTTTTGGATGCTCTGCTTAAGTAAGTTTAAAGGGACCCTTCATCCAAATAAAATTACTCACATTCCAAAAATGTGAAAATATTTCAGCCCCACAGTATTTTATAACTGTATACACCTTATATATTTATAACATTTATAACAGAGAAGAGCTGATCATCAAGGGCGATAAACGGAATTTTCTGAGTAATATCTTTTGATTTTGCAGTGTCTGCACAGAATTTTTTTTGTCATCAAATGCTTACAAGTGTCACTGATGAAGTGCCATTATTCGGTAGTACTGTACTCATCTATACTGGAACTGATTTGTTTTTAGAAAACTTCATACTCTTCACTATCTCACTTTAAGGTGAGCAGTCAAATTTGTTGTTTTTTTAATGTTTATTAGTAGGTCCTTCTCATGAAATTTTAGCGGCGTTTGTAAAATGCATTTCTAACATTGTTTTCGCCAACATTAAAATGATTCCGCACAGCAGACATTATTCTGTTTAGTACGCAGGTCCGCAAAGCAATGCGAGTCAGCATTTTGGAGGGAATTATCGGCGGTAAATATCGGCACATTTTTCAACATCAGCGGGTGGCTGATTGTTGGTTGCTGTTGCGCCCAATAATGAAAGCTGGCCGTACGATCGGTGCATCTCTGCCACAGAGTAACAAATCAGCTCATGGTAAATGACCAGCAATCTTTGCGGATAAGCTGTTTCACTTCCTGTCAGCAGGGGCAGGACAAAAACAATGATACTATGCTCTCGGACCTGGGCGTCCCCTTCGTTACGACTTTGCTTTGGCAGCAGAAACAGCAGCAGCAGCACGGCAGGTTCTCTCCTCACCTTGGGCCCTAACCGCACCGTGATGGCGTGCTGTCGACTGGACGAATCTTTCGCCCCCAGCCTCAGCATACTCAGCTCCGTGGCGATGAACAGCACTCTGTGGGAACAGGACACACAACCAGAATCGCTTACCAAACGACCCAAGACAGAACTCGCCATCGGCTCCCCTAATACGCCGCATGCAGGCTGGGTGAGGTTTGACCCCAGATGACCCCACCAGTCACCCCGCACACGGTCACTCCCCTGCTGCGCCCTCTTAGGAATACCATTCCTCTCTGCCCCACGGGGAGTGTGAATTGCACTAATCCCAGCCACTCCTTCTCATCAGCTATCCACTAAATGCTCACACCCATGGCTATCCAAGGGCCCGTTTCCCAGAGGCCCCTGACGTGCGCGGAACGCGGTCGCTCTGTAAGTGCTCTGACAGGCTCCAGCCGCTTCATCCGCGTTTCGTTTAGGTGCTTCTATTTCTGTATCATCAAACCATCTGTGTGAACGCCCTGCGGGGTATTTGTTTGCGAAGGCTACAGTCTTTAAAAAAACAAAACAAAAAAACAAAAACAAAGTGATCTCGCCATAAATGCGAGCGACGGGCCGCCACGCCGCGGCGCTGCAAGGGCAGAATCTAATCCTCCCGCTTTCTGTGGATGAACATGCGAGCGGTAATCAATCCTTCACTCAAAGCTGGGCCGCGGCTCAACGCTCTGAGCGAGATGCTTCAAACGGCCACGGCGTTCGTACGAACAAGGCTGGGGCTGCGCTGCTCCAGTGAGAACAGCCAAAATGCTTGAAGGCAAGCGTTAGCTTTCATCTCTGCGCTCTCTGGCTGGCTAGGCCGACCGTTTCTGAGGAAATGTTTGAAACGCGGCGAGGTAAACAACGATGGGTAAGGGGCGATGGCGCCATGTCACCACCGGAGGCAACGCAGCTGCAGATTTCCACGAAGGGGGGGCTCCCATTACGGCACTAAGTTGGTGACACCCAGACCTACATGAGCAGGAGCGACAGAGGCTTTCAAAGCCAGATTTTAACTACATCTGATTACAGCTAACGACCCGGGGATTGGTTAAGGTTGGTTAAGAGGGGGACTTGACCCCATATGTGCTGCATTAGAAAAAAAGCTACAAATTTTAAGGGAACTTAAATTGATTAAAATAACCATGTTTTGTCACAAGTACACCTGTCACGGCTAATCAGCCACTGAAATCTATCAGACTCCCAGCTTTTAACAGTGATGCCAATTAATCTAAATTATTCTTAAGTGCACATACCAATGGGGCAGCTCCTGACCACAATTTTGTCTCTGTGAATATTCACCTTGACAAAAAAAAATAAAAATCTCCTCACTGGACTCAAGGGACTAGTTTTCTAATTAAAACAATTTGTACTTACTTATGCCTCAGTTTTACTTCTGGGTCATTACGAATAAACGGAAAAAAAAACAACAACCACCCACAGCATTGCTAATAGTCGGAAGTTTAACAGGAAAGTTGTGACCATGCCACAAACCAGAGGGTTAACGAACATCTGAATGATTAATTAATGACAACAAAGCACATCCCATTAACCTCCATCTCCTATCCGAAAGCTGTGTGCTTGCAGAAATCTCTGCCAGTTCCAGAGTCGCAGTTTCGCCTCTCGCCCCCTCAATGCCTTCTTCTCCTGTCATCCTCCCCACCGCCAACTCGATCACGCACCCCAAAACCCCGACAGCACGTACAGCCCTGGCGGTCCTATGCGGGAGAACAGCAGCTTTCAGTTATTACCCTTATTAATGTGCACGTCTCTGTGTGGACAGCATCTGAAATAATTACCATTTCCCAGGGGGCTCCCGTCGGATCGGATCCCCCTTCCAATCAGTGCTCGGTTTGGTAGCTTGTGTCCAGAGATCTTTCTCGGGGGGTCAATTCATTTGGCAGTAAACAAGGTGGAAAATCACGAAGCTCAAGTGTCTTGCCGAGGCTCTTCAAAAGAAGCATTCCCACGGGACGCTTTAAAAGGACGTATCGTCTTCAACAAGAGAAACCAAGTGCTCCTTTTAAAGACTTACTCTGAAGCCGGTCTTTTATTAACTTTGGATCTGTACTTGATATATACAGAGTGTGTGTGTATATGTGATATATATATATATATATATATATATATATATATATATATATAGATGCAGAGAAAAAATTGCACGTCATTATAGCAAGGAAAAGAAAAACATTTAATATGTATTAATCACCACATTCGACTTCCATTTTTTCCAGATAGCAGATCAGGGTGATTCTTCAATGAGTAAATGTGCTTTGGCAAAGGCATAAGAGTATTATGTTGCAAAGTGCAAGAAATACCCCTTGTCGACCAAAAACAGCAACGTTTCGTGAGATGCGAGATGATAATGTGAAATGACAGACTGTAATCCTGCTAATTTAGGTCACGTCCCAGAGGTCGCTTTCCCAGTTGGACACTCCGAGCCTGGCGTGTTGGTAAGTGCCGACAGGCCCATGTGGGGGCCGGTGGGGGGGGGGTTGTGGTCAACAGCATAAGAAGTGAACATACTTATCCCATCCCAGGCTGTCTAGCTCTGCAATCAGGCCTGCGTAGTACTGGGGCGGGGGCACGCTCCGACTCTCTGGTGATTTCTTCACAGCCACCTCCTGCAGGATGACAGTAGGCCTGTTTCTCAGGCAGCCTTTGGCAGAGCCAGCCATGGGTCCTGGGCTTCCCCCATCATTTACCCCCTGCGCTAACGTGGACAGATAAAATTACCAGAACACAGGCTAGGTGCCTTACCCAAGAGCGTATTAATGCTTTCATACAGGGAGGGGGGTATTTTTTAGATCTTTTTTTTTCTTCCAGGGCCACTCAGTAAATTTTCCTGAAATTAGGCCTGCAATATCAATGCTTAACTTAAAAATAAAACACATAGACAATACAGTTTGTATATGATGCTATGGACCTATTTATTTAACTACATTTCTTTTTTATATTATATTTCACATACTGAATAATTTTACATTGGGTCATACATATCAAACCAAATAGCTAACAGCGAAAAAAAAAACCTAATGGATCTTTACCCCAGGACAAGGGTGTCGCATTCGTTGAAATTTCATCGCCATTAATGCCACTTAAACACTAGAACTAATAACATCTAAAATATCAAACCCTATTCTCATTAGACCCCTCTGAGGGCTGAAAGGATGGCATGGCCAACAGATCGAAACAGGAGATTCCACGGAAATTAAGCGCAGATCGTTGTGTGACCTTCTCGGAAGTGGTAAATATGAACGATCAAATATGCCAAACTATAAATATTAATGCTCTAAAAAAAACTTGCAGTCTGTCGACTTGGTTTCTGACAGGATGTCGAGCATATGAAAAGATAAAGAGTCGCTGACACGCCTGCATGTGTTCATAAAACCCTGAACAGGCCAAAAAAAAGCCCAAAGAAAACAATTTCAATTAACCACATCACAAAAGTGATTAGAGAGACAAATTTGCCATGAGAAGTGCCCTTGAGAGCCAAAACACAGCTAAAACGTGCAAACACCCCTGAGGGTCATGCCAGAAATGATGTTTATCTCAAATCAAAGGAGCCAAATGTTTAAGCCAATCACTACATGTTTTATTATTTCCAGTTGCCAAGCAGAAAAGCATGTGAACAGTCAAATGCATTGTTACAAAGTAAATAGATTATGCTTAAAAATGCTGCCTTCAGATGAATGTCACAATATTTATAATATATAATATAACATATATAATATATAATAAATACCAATACTTACTAAGACCGTTTTCAGCTCCAAAATAAAAGTGCAAAGATCAGAGGAATGCTGCAATCTCTGAAGAAAGAAGAAACTGCGATCAAAATAAAATGACAGCGCACGTGGGAAAGGTAACGATTACGTCCATCATTGCATTCTTCCATTTTTAAACAATACACAGTATGCAGTGGCTCAAATTAAAACCACTGTCGGCTGCTTGATATATTAAGGCAGCCACCAGCTTTAATAATTAATAATATTTTAAGTCTATCAAAGTAATGAACTTTACCGCCTAGGGAAAAATATAAACCCAGCCCTAATACATAGACAAAGGCTAACAAATGAGGGCATTTTCAAAGCTGGTAATTAAGAAACCAAACACACAGGAATAAAGGCAGTAAATAAAAAATAAAACACGCCAGTTCAGTAAGAAAAAACACTTTTCCAAAAATGAATTCTAATAGCGCGATAGATTAATAACTGAACAGCACATGGTTTATATTTATGTAATATTACGTGTACAGGGAGAGAAATGGTTATTATGGTGGTTGTAAATGCCAATTTACATTTTATGTGATGCGTCACCTGTTTTATTATATTTTGATAATCACGCAGGAGCTGTTTTAGGCGCCAGCAGCACTGCAATCTGAAGGAGGAAAAAAACAGCGAAAACATTCCATAAACGAGGGAAAAAATAATGCGACAGAGATGTCAAAAGTACTAGCACAATTACTGCCATCTACAACCAGGAGTTACTATTAGTTAATACTTAGCACGTAACAAGAAAACTTTTCGGTGTGAATAAATTAGTCTACAATTTTACACGTTCAACGTGCTACAGAAAACGGCGCGAAATTATATTAGTTATTAATAGCAGCATTATTATTAGGGTTTGTATTATTATTATTGGAAATAGGCAAATTACTGATTTGAAAACTTTCTAGGATTTCAATCAAGAGCTATACATATTCAGTTAGGTGCATTTACAACGATGGAATGCTGAATGATGAAATATTACTTGGCATGCTTCAGCTGGCGATTAGGAGGGAGTAGCACTCTCAGTCTGAAATCTGCTCCCTAAAAAACAAAAAGCAACGCAGACAAATTAGTCCACCTTGAACCACCCACAATACGAGATTCCTTTTGAACAGGTGTTACAATCTACGTTACGGTGGGCTTTTAATAAAGCAGTTACTCTTTAAAAACCAAGCATTTCTGGGCTTGTAAAATCACTACATCTTAATAAAGCCGCTAACTTTGCAATTAAATTGGATTCAGAAAATAAATCTCACCTGCAGTGTGATGAAGCCGTCATAAACCGTCTTCTCCTTATTCTGAGGTAACAACAGTGGGCTCTCTCTAACCAGCGAGGAACTGTCACTCATTTTCCCTGGGCATGCACAATTGATACTTTAGCGATTTCAAACGTTTAATGATTTTACGATTTCGAAACGTTGGGTTGTGTTTTCCTTTAACCCACCAATTAAAGTTGCTAGCAACTCATCATAAAAAGCGAAAAACTAAAACCTAACTAACTAAGTAATCCAGATGTTTTGGAATCTGTAGGAAATGTGCATATTTGTAGGTAACTGGCGGCATGTAAACATTGAAAAGGCCAAGTTAGCAAGATTGAATTAGCAATACGGTTAGTAGTACTCAACTTTATTTTACAAGTTAAAGAAAGTGAAAGGAACAGTGTCAAATACACTCGAATTACAAATCGGTTAGCTCAATACGCCAACACTAAAATACATAGCTTTCTAAAAAAAAATATTTGTGTTATTTAAGCAATGAAACGCATATACCTTCTTTACTTTCGCTTTATTGACGTACGTAAACTCCCGCGAAAAGTTCATGCGACCGCGTAACATGTTTTGCTCCGCCCACTCGCTGCGTCTTCAGCGCCCCTTTGAATGATGAAACTTTATTCCTCTCAGATCGCACCTGACAGACAGCGCAGTGCGCCGGTCGGCGCCAAGCCGATGGACCGTTACGGAGAGCGCGAGAAGCCGGCGCGTGCCATCGATGTCAACGATGTCGTCTTGTTCTTGTTAACATTGTTGGCTTAACATTTCATTCAGGTAAGTTATAGAAAAGGTTTACGACATCGTAACATCTTCACATAGCGAAATAAAACTGATTACCATAGCGCCCCAAAACAGTAAATATTTTATGGCCAGTTTGGGAACAAAAAATTGATTTCAGTTTTCAGATCGGTATGGTCACTTTTTTTTCTTCATGTGTTATCTGCCTGTCATCGTCTATAATTTTATTTTGAGTTAACTTGGTATGTTTTCATTATTATGTTAAAAGATATACTCTCAGTTTATAATTACAGTACAATTCCCATGGGCATCTGCATGGAATCCAGTTTGAGTTGACCCGGTTTTAAGTCCCCGGCTTCATGTGATGGTTCTCCCCGTGTAGTCGTGGGGTTCATCCGCCGCCTGACCACTGCAGTCCAGAAACATGCTAAGGAAAATTAAAGTCGCCCCATTGTCCGAGGGTGTGAAAGATAAGTGTGTTAATATGCTCCGGCACCCCCGTCACTCTGCGTAGAACAGGTAGGTACAGGATATGGTTGAATTTCATTATACGTGTATATTTATTGTTATACTTTTATTCCTTTATTTTATTATTATTTTTAAATGAATCTTTCTGACATATCCTTAGATGTTTAATGGGTAATTGCATTTTAAATCCCCCATAATTATAATTAGTTTGTGAGTGTAGTTTTAGAAGCCAGGTTCCAATTTTTGAAGAGCCCTCATAAACTCATTTGAAAGTACAGTAAAGTAGCTCTGTGAATGGGCCATGTGTTTGGTTCTGTGAAGTAACTCATGATGTCTAAGGTTTAGAATAAACATGAGTAATTGTGTCCCTGGGCCTTAGCTGAATGTCGTCAATTATGTCCATGGCTCCAAACATTTTAAATACACATTAATAATGTGCAATTTGTACTATGACTTTGGACCCAGAAGAGGAATAGATTTGGAGTCTTACATATAGTAAATACTCACAGAATGTGATCCTCTGCCAACAGAATAAATCTGTAACTTATCCCCAGAAGGGATAAGTTACAGGTTATTTCTGCAAGCCAATACAAAACAGACTACAGATATATTAGAGAAATGGTCACATTATAGTACATTAATCCTTGGTTTTCTACCTTTTAAATCCGACAATTGTTAAAGAGCTAGTATTTTACTTAGTTTTTATTTTTTCAGTTTTACTGAAATTAAAACACTTTAAGAATGCTTCTGAGAAACAGATTAAGAAATGGATTGTACATTGGATGGAAATGCCATATTCTTGGATATGTACCGTGTTGTCATACAGGGAAAATACAATGTAAAATATATGACTGATGTTAATATTTGCCCTACCATACATATTGACTTCTAGCATAGTGCATGGTATATATCCAGTTAAAATGAAAGTAATGTTCCCATTGTCATCTAATAGTCTTCATATAAACAGTTTTCAGTGCATGGGCTGTATGATTATCAAAAAATCTGTTTTATTATGATCCTTTTCCTATTTCAGAGCCCAAGACTTTGCCTCAACACCAAATTATACTTACTGTTAACAAGTTAATTTAATCACTACTTGTTGAAATTGTGAAAATAATCCTTATTTGTAGGTAGTCTCTGTTAGTACTGGTGCTTTCTGTTTATTGTGGTCCAATTTACCATCTTACATGGTATTCAAAACACCAGTGACAAATAATATTCTTCAAGCAACCGAGACTTTGAAAAACTGATATTCGTAATCATAAATATATTATTATTTTACGTTTTTTTTTATTTAGTGAATAATTGTAGGAAACGGTAGTTTGTATTTATGATTCAGGGCTTATATTCAATATTGTATAAGCACAACGCAATTTCTATTGTATATAATAGTAAATTGTCCCCTATCTTGACATTTTATTACTGAAAATATAATGCTGACGTACTAGATTTGCATTGCATAATATATTGAACATAAGATGAAACCCACCAGCTGCTGAAATATTCTACTGTGCATTAATCTACAAATACACTGTCACATTTGTGACATGAACGCAAAGTAAAACACATATTGCAGTATTTTCTTTTGAAAGTTATTACACCGCTATGAAAAGGGCCATATTTCCCCACTTAAAAATATCCAAGGACTAGGATCAGTCCTTTTAAGCAAAGAGGCAGCAAAAGAACGCCGATGTCCGCGTTGGAGTTTGTGATAATATGTTGCTCGTGAGTAGTGTGCCACCCGAGCACGCTACACATTGTGCCTGGAGAGATTGATGTTTTGTCATCCACCTGCTTCAAAGCTGCAAAACCAGCCGCTGCAAAAGAAAACCTAGCCAGCTTCAAAAACCCCCAAACAAAGAAATCTTAGCGGGCTGTTTACATATCAGTGGAGGGATACCGGGGCTTTTGCCGATGTGAGCCTGAAATGGTTGAGAGGTTTCAGAGCCTGCAGACGGGTGAGTGTTAAATGCTTTTTTTGTGTGTGTGCTGCCGAGGAGCAATTTAAGACGATTTCGCTGCGACTTTGCTTTATGGAGGAGCTTGACAACCTGTGCGAAATGAGGTGCTTTCTCAGTCATATGCAGATTTGGTGCCATTAATAGAATACACACTGCTAATATAGCATATTTTAAAAATGAACCCTCACATTATTTGGCATTCTTATGTAGTGTGGCTGTGCTCAGGCATTAATTTCTCCCTCCCTATTCCTTTTCTCCATTCAGCTCGTAGCTCTGCTTTTTTACCTTTGAGCAGAATGATCTATTGTGCATTGTTTGTCACGAACCATGGTCACTTCTCTGGAATGCAATTGGCTGGAGCTACATCGTGTGGGTCTTGCACCCTGCATCTCTCTCTCCTACTCTCTCTCTCTCTAAGTTGCTTTTGAATCAAGACAAGACCAGAGGTGGCTGGTTTAACTCATTTTGTAATATCACCATTCTTGTTATGTGTGGAATAGTATAGAAACAGGATATTTTCTCCTTAAGCATCCACATAAATACAGCTTCAGTACCAAAACCAGTAAAAAATGATGATTATTATTGATATCTTTATTAGAATGAGGAAACATCTGTCTTAGCTCCTTCTCAAATGCTCATAACTGGTTCATAAGTGCCTGGTTTTCCAGTGCTTCTGTGACTGAAATCACTTTATGCCTTATTTCACTCTGCATTTTTATCTTACTTTTAACGCCGGTATGCTTTTGAGGAGTGTAACAAAATGTCAGATCCAGCTGCTAATGCATGTAGATATTTCATACTAGGAAAAACAAAAAAAAAACATTATGGAGGAAAAAATGCTTGATCATGTGTGTTCTCTTTTTGTTATCTAAACTGCATTATGGACCTGCATCGAATTGAAGCTAATGCATTGAAACAAAATTTTATCCTGTGTTGAAGTTAATCTGACTATATTTGCAAAGAATTTAATTATAACTTCAGTTTATAATAATGAGATTGATTTGGTCTGGATTGAATTTATAATTTAAGGATTATTTGGTAGTTTTGCCTGAGGGACCATTATGGAATTAAACTATGAGTTTAAGCGTTTGCTTTTTTATGATGCAGGGTGGTTCATAAACACATCTAGCTTAACGCCTGAAAATATGACAAGGTTAAGGTTCACAGAACTCTTCATTTGTCTGAGACAGGGTTTAATATGCAGAAAGTAAATACGGTAGTGTAGCTAAATTAGTTGGTGATGTACACACACTTTTGCAGGAGAGGTAATTGAGATTTGGCCTATGCAAAGCGTTTAATGAAAGCTCTGCTAGGACAGTATCTCTATGTCTTGACAATGTTTGTCCAATATTTTTGAGGTGGAGTGGGGATGGTGTAGATATCTCAGGGTGGGGTGAAGTCAGGTGACGAACACATTCATTCACTTCACTGGTCCTGTAAAACTGAACTCTATTTTTCACTCTGGGCCAGATCCTGTTGCCTTATTCTATACCCTTTGTAACCCCCAACCCAGCATGATTTGGTTTTCTTGTGTGTACTTCCCATTTCTGATTATGAAAAAACTGTTTTCAAAATCCACCTCTGCTCCCTATTCCTTCCTCACATGTTGGTGTCACGTGGTTCTGTGGGCAGTTCTGCCCAGAGCAGTTCTCACAAAATTATTCTGTGATTCTTTTAAGAATAACTTGGATAATATGGCTCAATTGGAGGTTGGTCCATCCTGCTTTGTCACCTTTGGATCATTTTGCTGTAACATATTAACCTTTGTGTTTGAAAAAAAAAACAGTGGCAGTGAGTGGTGCTGTGTCGGTAAATGATGTATCTGGAGACTGGTTTACAGGACTTCATTAAAATGACTTCAGCTGGGAGATCAATGGAACTGTGGCAATGGGGCCACTTGGACCCCATCCTGGGCCTTGATCCGGGCCAGTTTTCCATGCAGCAAACCAAACTGTACTTGACCTACAGCATGCCAATGAAAGGCAGGTCATCAGTTCTAGGCCATTTACTGTACAGCGTACTGCAGCTGGAGCATGGAGGACTTGAGGCTTTTTATCCTCAGCCAGGCAGTGACAAAGATAAAGTACTGTGAAAAGGAGGCCAAACAATGGTCACATGAATATAATTGCCAAACAAAATGGCTATTTTAGTTGACGTGTGCATGGTCAAAAAATGTCTAGTTTCTGTCCTTTCGTCTATTTTAATGTCTTTAGGCCTTACTGTGAGAGGAAGAGCTACTCTCTCTCTCTATATCTATCTATCTATCTATATGTATATGTATATATATATATATATGTATAATATGATAGTTTGTATTTTTTTTTTATCAGGGAAGGGGGAAGTGGTCTGTGTATATGTATATTCATCGCAACACGTCGTGGACCAGCCGAGTCCAATCCTGGGCTGAAGCGAGAGGTGGGAAGCCTTAGCCTGGATTACCGGACTTCAGAAGTAGGGGTGAATCCAGCTGGCTGTCAGACTTGAATGGGTGGTATTAGACAGAGTGGATCCCATCCCTAAGGGGAAGCTGAAGCAAGTAGGATATAATTGACTTTTTCTTTTCTCCCTTGATGCTTTGTGGGCTAGCGTTCCTGCAAGGGGTATCCCATAGAGGGTAAATATCAGAGAGGACAGGGTTTGATTGGGTTGTGGGCTTAGGCTGTAATCGATATCTGAGGTGCTGAGTTTAGCAAGGACTTCCAGGCTCGGCTGGCTAGGCTGAGTGTTCTTCTGCTAGGAACTCTGACTTGGGCTTCTGTAGGGCCTGTGTTATGGACTGTTATTAGATGGAAGGGTTTTTTGTGGTTTATTGTTTTGGTTTGTTATATATTGTTAACTGATATATAGTTTTGCATCTAGTTCAGCCTGATCAAGTCATGTTCAATTACATTTATGTCTGATGTCCAGTGTAAATGATACAGACTGATCGAGAGACGCATGTAAGTGGACATTGTAGGAAGTTTGTGGGTGTATTGCTTTTTATTATAAAGTGTTGTGATTTTATATTTACATTATTATTTGCTGTAGAGTACTGTTTGTCTGTTACAGTACTGTATTTGATTTCTTGCCTTTCCCCCATAACTATTGAGATAGATACACCCCAACGCAAGGCTGTATAATGTTTCCATAGTGCTGGAGTCAGTTATTGAACTTAGCTTGGACCAATTCATGTTTGTTGTATTGGAAATGGACTTCAAATGAAAGGAGACACTGTATCACTGTTGTCATGGCTGAGCACTTTTTGATATGGATCAAGGTGCAAACACTCCAGCTGCATTTCATGTACTGTTTGCTCCCATTCATCCAAATCACCATAAAAACCAAGCATATGGTCATATGATCAAGTAATTTCCAAAGCAACCCTCCTTCAGAGTGCTCTTTCTGTTTCTGGGTAGTAGTTGGATTGCACAATTTTTTTCCACAAAAGGGAGACCTTTACCTCCTATGCATGGATTCCCAGGTATGTTGACAGGTAGTGTAGAGAGCCTGTGTTAAATTTCACATCTATGCATTTAAAATGGATAAAGTAAGTTTGTTGAGCTGAGTTTTGAAAGTACATTTTTTCTGTACATAAACTGGTGTAAAGCTTTATACTAGCGTACAATTTAATAAGTAGTAATATTGACAAGTGGGTATGGAAAATGGATGGATTGTATGTGTTTTAATTTATTAAAAATTTAACAGATAGAAGAGATGACTACTTAAATTACTACTATACTCACTACTAATTACATACACATCCAAGTCGCTTCCTTAGACAAAAATAAAAATATTCTCAAACTTTTTGGCTGGCGTTCTTGTAAATACTATCAATATGTGAGTTTTTTTCCCTTTTTGTTTAAGCACCAACTTTCTCGAAATTTATTGCATAAAACATGTAACATTAAATAATTATTTTCCAATCAAATTTAATTCCATTGTGTGTCATTTCTTATGCGGATAAATATGTTACAATAAACAATTCCAGTTATTGATTACGTGAATTTAACTGTCAGTGTAATCTACTGTTTGATCAGCAATAAAGCGATTTGTTTTTATACAGAATTCAGTGCAGTGTAGTTTACGTGTACCATAACATTTGATTGTTAATTTGAACCCCATTAGAAATGATTGATTCTTACACATTATTGGCCTATGCAAGGAGACTTTCTTTTACATTATCTTTAATTCATTTCAGTGATCTTTCAAGTAATTTAAAATTAGATGCTAGTGTCCAGTGATTAGTTTCTAAATCCAGTTATGGGGGTGGAAACCATATCAGATGGTCTGTTCATTGATAATTCTCGGAAAAACCTATTCTGTTATTATAATTAAGTAAAATTCTCAAGCTCAATATATAAGATAAGATGAACTTCCAAGGGGGAAACGCTGGTGCAGTAAGGTTCATAAAATGTTGTAAGTGCTATATGGGTAAATTGTTTATTTCTATACTTGCTTTTTATTTTACTGCAGGACTGTAGTTGGCAACCTAGCAAAGGACCTACATTTCCTTTCATGCAACTTTCGTACAATGACATGCCAACACAGCTGCCAACGCAACCAATATTTATATTTACATGCTGTAGAGTGCTAGTGTAGACGTTCTCATGTGAATAGGCTGTTCTGCCAACTTAAGAAAATGCAGGAGCGTGTTCTTCAAAATATAGTGTAATTAGACCACCATTTTTTTTTTACCATGCCCCTGTGTTTTGGTAGAGTATGGAATTCTGGGTATAACAAGTTTCACTTAGTGTGACAGGTGTAAAGTAGGGCCTAAACTTGGCTTACAGGGAAGTTTCAGGGTGATTTCTAGTCATCTACCAGTGGAAAACAACAAAAATTACTGTAAATATCCAAAAGTATGAATGCATGAACTTAATTGGCTATTTAATTTTCAATGGTATTACTGGGTTTATTTTTTAAAATACTGCATCTTTCCACAAAGACTCGGGAATCCGTGGGTTTCTACCATTTTGGCATAGAATTGTTTCTCGCTTAGTGGATCAATTCTTTTGTTATCAAACCGAGTCTGCACTGCAGAGTAATTCATTCAGCATTGATCTTTTTCCAACCCTCTATAGCCATTCTCCATCGAGTTTCACATTAAAACGACACGTTCACAAGAGAATAAAGATTTTAAATGGTGACGAAGGGATTAAAAAAAGCATAGCATACCTCCATATTCACATTTTTGAGACGAGCAAGGTAAGGATTGCCAAAGGGCTTCCTGAGTTTTATTGCAAGCGTCATAATTGTAAAATAATACAATTATAGAACCTCATAATTTAAAACCCCCCACGTGCTTCAGATCTACTCCAAAGTGCGCTTTATTTCATTCTCTTTATACTATACACTGAGTAGAGAAACCGTTTCTGGCATATGAGGGAACTGCGCATTCTGTTAGGCGTGTCTTTAATATCTTTATTGTTTGTGCATTTTAATTGGGTTTTTCAGAACTTTGTCGTGTGTGTTTGTAGCGCCGCGCGTTTCGGGGGGGGGCGCCGCTTGTTTGTTTACTGAAGTGTTTTAATCCAGCTCGCGCCGTGCGCCGAGCAGCCGAAACAGCGAGGTGTCGCAGCGGCAGATCCGAGAGCGCATGAGACCGGTATTGAACAAATTTGTGAAAATGAACCCAACGGTTCAAGACATAATGATCGAGACGAGGAGGGTTCGCTGGTCCGTGCCTGTGGGCTGAGCAATCGATAGACGATCAATAGCTTTTTATTAAAAATGTTTACAGTGAAATAAAAATCTATGTTGTTTTCTTGGGAAAGAGGAGTATGAAGTTGTTTCTGAGTAGGAAATCGCTGGGACAAATTTTATTTTATTTCGTTTCTGTATATACCAGCTGCACATTGAAATACTTATGCAAAATAAATTACAGAGCAGTGCCTGCGTTACTAGGCTATAATCTTTATATAGACATTTTACAAAAGAAGCTTTGTGAATTTTTTTTTTTAAAGAGTTCCAAATAAATTATAATGACTCACATTAGGGTGAGATTAATAAGTCTATTGACTAAAATGCTCATCATTGTAAAGCTGTACTTTAACTAGTAAATTGATTATACTGTGATTGACTTGGGGGGGGGGAGCTAAAGGGGAATGTCTAATTGGATATCTCAGCCTTTTCATTTGTACCTGGATGTTGAATGTTGAATATGTAGGGTGTAAAGACTGTTCAACGAGTTCTTTTTCAATGTTTAGAGACGCTGAGGTGTTGGAATTCCACCTGTCCTGCACAATAAAAGCTGTCAGCAAGCACGCCGCATTTGCTCCTCTCCGTGATGTACAGTACTTAAATACGATCTCTAATCCCTTGCAGCAAAAGACCATTATAAGTATAATGGAATTTGAAGAGCATCTTTATTTAGATCTGCCATTCTTGAGATTATGAAAAATAAACTGCCCACCTCTTTACTTCACAGTGCTGGGAGAGCGAAATAAAGGCAGCGAAACAGAGAGGGGTAGCGCCTGAAAGGATATTCTATGGCTTTACAATCAGGGTTTATTTCTTATCTTTGCAGAAGATGGAAAGAATAAGACGGTCGATGGATCCCAGAAACAGAGAGCGAATCGGCAGGTGAGCGTGGGATATGGGGGCTGTGAGCCGGGTGGGGGAATCTAAGGTATGGACAAACCACAGCAGACCAAGAGCATTGCAGGTACTATGGTGATCTTGTACACTTTAGTCGCCAGTGCATCTCGGACCTGTCGCATTCTGTGACCGGCAGCAGCGTTTGCACTGACACACGTCAGCAAGCCAGGTTGCCGAGATGAGGGCTCCCTGGGTGCCTTGATCGCTGTGGTAACCCTCTTCTAATTTCTCAGCTGCTGCGACGGCCCTGTCACTCGCTCCGGGGCTGGGCCGTGCCTGGCGCTGGCACACTGTGTCCTGTGTGTGGAGGTGTGCTCTGGGCACAGTGATAGCTTCACTGAATAATTACTGGTTTTCACATGAGCACATTCCGGATGTGCTCCTTTAAGATCGAGGCGAGGTGTCAAGGGCAAGTTGAGTAGCAAGTTCCCAAATGACAAGAGAACTTGGAAATGACTTGCAACTGTACCTGTACCTGTATTGGCCAGATGGGTTTCTATTTGGATTGCATGGGGTGGGGGGAATGTGCTGAGTAGTGGTTAAAGAATTTCATCTATTGTCAGAAAGGTCTTTATTAACCCGAATAAACATTCTAACATAAAATCAAAAACTGAATTAGTAGCTGTGCAACTTGGCAGAATTTCCTAAATAAATTACTAATTATAGTTATTATTTGAGGAACTACAGCATTGTCCGATATTAATTTAAATTTAGTTTCTATTTAAATTAGAGTAATCTTTGTATATATTTTTTTGGCAGTGGAGCTGGACAAATATAACAAAGCAAGGATGAGAATAGTGCAGTAGCACATTCTTACCAAAAGAGGGCAACAAATCATTTCAGAATGGCACAGCTCGTATGTACAAATGCAGGTGTCGGGTTAAATGTGTAAATAACAATAATTTACATTTACTTCAGGAACGGCAGTCTGTACTGTCAGTCTGTAGTTCAAAGCTGCTCCACAGTTTTAGCAACAAAGGTGCACATTGTCACATTCCTGCAATATCTGAAACAGGAATGAAGTTCTTCAAGTGAAAGTGTCAGCTCACAAAGTCCTAGCCAGAATGCAAATAGGAGTAATACGAGTTGCATAAAATAATCACTGCTGTAGTTGACCTTTGGCCAATAATAAACTGCTTAGTAAAATAAGTTATTTTACATTATCTGACTTATTTATGGATAAAATGAGGCTTTCCTCCCCATCCCACCCCACCCCCCGCCCCCCAAGAAAAGCAGTGGGATTTGGGATATTTATGACATATCACTTTCTCCTGAGTCTTTTTTTTCCTGTGCAGGAAGCTTCCGTTTTGGCAGCTTCTCATTTGGCTAGAACTGCTTTCCTTCTCTGCATAAATCAGAGCCCAGGTTTAAAGTGGCTGCAGTCAAGGAGCAGCATCAAAACAGAAAAAAAAATAACGGCTAAGAGTCGTCATGTGCCGTTGCTGTGGGTGGCGGCCATTGTGATTACAATGCCCTGTATTTCCTACTGATGGGTATGTGATGGACGTCTGTCTCAATGAGGCTTTGAACAAGTTTACCCTTTTACAGAACACTAAATCCTGTTTGCGGACAATGTATGTTTATCTGTTGCGAGGACAGAGACACATTGGTTGGATCTGGGAAGATGACAGCAGCCGAGCATCTCTAACTGTGAGCCTCTGGTATCATGCCAAGCCCCCAGGCCTTGCACCCCCCCCCACATGCCCAGCCCCTGCTTCTCCAAAACAATGGCACAATTTGGCACAGTGTGTGGCCTTTGTTCCTTGGCTGGGCCTTCAGAATGGCAATGCCGACAGGGTCAAGTGCAGTTCTCTGTCTTGCCAGCAGAGGGACTCTTTGACAGGGGCAGATAAATACAGAGGGGTCACTTTTTCTGGGCACTTTCAAAATAAACTAGGAGTGTTTTGTGGAAGCTGTAGAGTCACCAGAAGAACTCTCAGTATTGGTTTAAGAAATTATGCACAATATGAAAAGTAATTTAATCTTTTAAAATGCAGTATTTTCCAATGTAAATTTGGCTTATACTGTATAGTACACTATATACCATATTCTGGCCCAAAGAGTGAAATTAGTTTAACTTTTTTTACTCAATATTGTTTAGGAAACCATTGTTTTTTCAGAGTTTTAAAACTAAAATTTCTTTTTAGAATTTGTTACCATTCCCGGTTTAAAGTTTAAGGTTTGCAGCTTTCTTTTTTGTGGCAGTAGTATCTGCTACTGACTTGATATATTGTCTGTAGAATCACAATAATATTTTTCACTTGCAGTTTGGAGCCTATGAGACAGAAGGCAACTAGTGGGAAAAGATGAATATGACAACTTTTAACAATTTTGAACAATTATTATTGCTACTGTTATGAGTATAGTTTAGTTGTGTTAGGCCTTACTTCTAGTTTTCTGTTTCTCAGTTATACTGCAAGTTTAACTTGTTCCTTGTGCTTAGTTTCTGACTGATTTTACCTGTGAATTACCTGCGTACTTCTGAGGCACGTTCGGTATGATGGTATTGTTCAGTTTGATTTTTAAAAACATATCATTAAATATTTCACACCAAACATTGTGAGGAGTAAACTGCATCTGTGTTGTGCCACTGCTTTCCAGCTTTGGCTATCTTTCTGTACTTATGTTTTTGGTTTTTGATTACTGTATGGCATTAACAAAAAACTACACAATAAAAAATTCCAATAAATGCATTTTAAGTCATGCCATTTAATGTCACCAGATTCTATTTTTGGTATTTTATGCTAGTTTGCTGTGGCATGACATAAATCATAAATCAGACATTAATGGGGCATTAATTACAAGTTTATTCAATATGTGAAACACACGCACCTTTAATGTGTCTGAAGGGTAAAAAAAAATTGTATGTCTGTAAAAAGAGGAGCCTGCTCACTCAGGGAAGCTGTTTCTGTTTGGTGAAACAGTGCTGGTGTAAATATAGCACGGCTCAGCCATTAAGCAGGGTTTTCACATTGGTCTCTGCTTTAATCCCTCTCTCCATGCTCTTGCCGGCTCAGTGCGGAATGCCTGTGTTGCGAAGCACTGCTGAAGTAGTCCTTCTGATGTTTTTCTTTTCTTTTTTTTTTTGAAATGTGACCGCAGAATGTTAGTTACAGTATTTAGCTAATTAGCACAAATCTTGGATGGATCGTCAGTCCGTGGCAAAAATGCATACCCGGGTGAGGTTTAAGACGTTTCTGTTTAAAAAACAAAATATCATACGCCATACTTTCCGGGAAGCGTTTCTTATAAAATTTCAAGGAAGCGTCTTTTAGAAAGTATTTAAGTTCACTCTAGGCCTGCATCACAGAGACTACACACAGTATTCTACATACCTAAGTAACTGCTGATTTTACCTGTAGACACTGACAAATCTGAATTGGAGAGACCCCCCCCTCCCCAAACATGAACTGACATGGTGACTGTGGCCTAGCGAAGCCACTGTGCTGGAAAGGCTGCGTTGCTCCCCAAAAGAGCAAAAGAAATAACTTTGAAGTGTTCAGTGTTTAGAAGCTTCTTGGCTGTGGTAGCAAGAACACTAATCCCTGCTTTGGTCTGTGACGATTCTCCAAGTGGGTCTCTGATTCCACCCCCTCTCAATTTTTCAGACCCGTGTCAAGCTCAAGTTGCTCTCCAGATTCTTACAGCTCTCCTTCCCAATGCCTTCTGGCAAGCCCTGCTATTTATAAGGAATCCCTTTTTCTCCTTTTTCCCCCCTGCTTGTTTGATTTTCTGCCCTGGTTAGGGAGGTGGCTATTCAGAGGCGCTTTTTCTCACCCACAAATCTCTCCCGCACAGTGGGGCATCTGTTTATCAATACAAACTGCGTTGATACAGTACAGCAGAAGTCATCAATTGATGCAGTTGAGTCAGTTAAAGAAAAACCTGATGTTTTTGCCATTAATTACTTAATACTGGAAAAAGATCCGAAATGATCACAATACTGGTGATTGATTACATTTTTAAAACACTAATAACAAAACACTAAAAATATCGGGTTTGATATCAGTCCCTATTCTGTGCTGTTGCAGATTTTCAAAACCTGTTTTAGAACCAGTTAAAAGTAAGAGTTAATTTTCTCCATCAGGGCCTTACCTTGGAGGAGTGTGGCTGGCCTTTGGTGTAAAATTCACACTTAAGCTCTCACTTGTGCTGTGGTTAGACAAGAGTGTGATGCGCATGTCCCNCCCCCCCCCCACTCTTGAACAGTATCTCCTGGCGCGGGAATTCAGTGTGGCCGAGTTCAGTGCTGCGCCTTCTGTTTCAAAGCAGTCTTTTTTGTTTTTTTAAAAAACAACTCCCCAAAAATGCACGATTTCTTTCCAGTTTAGTATGTTGCCTGAGGCTCCAAAAGTATGAGTTCTTGATGGCAGGGAGCTTGGTTTTCTAATGAACTTCATCTTTTTATGAATCTCTGCGTAAATCTTGCAGGCAGTAGCAGCATTTCCTAAATAGCCATTGATCGGTGCGACCTCTGACCTCACGAGAAACAAATGGGCCTGATCATTACTTTTCTCGCTCTATTGAGACCAGCTAATCGAACCTACAAAGTTTTGAGTAAAAAAAAAATCTGAAATAATGCGTGATTAGTTACATGTCCTGAGGAACTGCAAAACCGAGATCTCAGGGTGGAGGTTGGGCAGGTACAAAACACACATCAGAATATAGGAAAGGGGGCACTTTGGGTCCTGGATCTTGTCAGTAATTCTAAAAATAAAAGGAAGAATATGTAGGGAAGAATTACATGGGGGAATTTTAACAAGTTCTTCTGCAAAGAACTAGTAGCAACTTACTGTGCACGCTTACGGCAGAGTACAATATGCAGAGTTATAACTCAAGGGAAAAAAAATTTAAGCGAGAAAATGAGATTTTTTTTTTTTTTACCTTTTTTGGAAATGGGACAGAATTACAGGATTTTAAAAATCCTTTGTTTTTGGTACTTTTAGTTTCTCTGTTTGTATTTCTTTTATCGTTCCAGAATCAGG